CAGAAGGTCAGTTGTTCAAATTCACTAGCTGCTCCATGGGAGGATGAAGCAATCTACTCCTGTAAAGATTTACAACCTTGGAAACCCAATGGGGGTCACTATGAGTTGGAACTCACCCAATGGCAGGCAGTGAAGTTTTTTTTTTTTTTTTTTTTGGAGTAGTGCAGTGCAGAAAAATTAGACTGCTAACTGAAGGTTGGCTGTTTGAACTCATCAGCTTCTCCCAGGAGAAAGATGAGGCAGGCTGCTTCTGTAAAGGTTTACCTTATCAACCCTCTGGGAAGTTCTAGTCTATCTTGTAGTGTCATTATGAATTGTAATCACCTCTACGACAGTGGGTTTGTTTTTTGGTTTTCAGTCCCTATAAGCTCTGGTGGTGTAGCACCTAAGGCATGTGACTGCTAACCAGAAAGCTGGTGGTTCAAACTCCTCGGAAGGAAGATTGGGTAATGTACTTTTGTAGTGGTTCTGCCTCAGAAACCCAAGGTGGTGTCCCCATGAGTTGGATCTGACTCGACGGCAGTGAGTTTGATTTTTTGGTTTTGGAGAGGTGCCTTGGAAGACAGGTCTGGTGATCTGCTTCTGAGAGATCATAGCCTTGAAAACCCTATGAAACAGTTCTACTCTATACTTGAGGTCACTGTGAGTTAGATCAACTCTACGGCAACTAACAACAAGTCCCTATATCTAGAGTCCCTGTGTGATGCAAACGGGTAACACGCTTGGTTGCTAACTGAATGGTTAGCATCTACCCAGAGGTACCTTGGAAGAAAGGCCTTGTGATCTACTTTTGAAAAATCTGCCATTGAAAGACCCTATGGAGCACAGCTCTCCTCTGCCACGCATGGGGTCGCCATGGGTCAGAATCCAGTTGACAGCAATAGACACTGGTATTGGCAGTCTCTATATCTGGTTGTCTTGTCTGAGGTGCTTAAGGAAGGTTACACTGAAGGTGGGAAACACTGCAGTCAGAGTCAATCCTGCCTTTGTGTTAAAAAAACAGATGGAGATGTTGTATGAAGGCTTTGTGTGGGTTCCACACAAGGGATTTCAGTCTCCACACATTCCTCCTATTACGGTCCTTGTGTTCAGCACATAAACTGTGAAATTTTACATGCCTTGTGGCTCTGACTGCAGAGCAAATGTGGGCCTTTGCCTGGATGACTAAGGTGTTCCTGGATTATTTCTGCAAACATACCACAATGTATGTCAGGGTGTCTTCTGAAAGGAAGTGGCTTCCCCAACTCTTGCTTGTAGGACCCCAAGGAGAATTCTCTGCCTGAGCTTCTAAAATGTAAGTGGGGTTGGAAGGATGTGAAGGATGTGGGCAAATTGTTTTGAAATGTTCTGAGTCTCAATATGATTTAAAATCCAACTGGTGAGATCTCTTATTCTAGCTGTTACTTCCGTCTCAGCTTGACCTCTGCCTCAGTTTACAGTCATGCCTTTTTGACCATGACAGCTGGTCCTTTGGACATTTGCCAAGGCATCTGTTTCCAGCCTTGGTCTATCTGATCCAATGAGGAGCATCTAGTTTTTTCTCCTGGCTGAGTTTCTGCCTCTTTCCTTCGACCTCACCCTGGTCAAGTCTTGAATGGATCAAATGGTTCCTGGAACCAGCAGTTTTGAGATCCATTTGGATCCTCAGCTGTTGGCTTCTCTTCAAATCTGCATATTAGCTGACAACTTCAGAAAATGCTTTTTGAAATCAGTCCCTTACCCTGAGACTGGGCCTGGCAAAAGTCCCCCTAGCTCCACCACTGGCACATGACAATTGCTTGCTCTCTCCTTTCCACACGCAGGCAGGGTCCTTTGGTTCGACATTGTTTTATGTATTTGTGACACTCTGGTTAGCCCCTTAGAAAGTTTGTCCTAATCCTACCTTATATAATGAATTATTTGAATTCTGATCACCCACTCCCTCAATTTTAAATGTCAAATTGAGGAAGCGAATAAAGAGAGACTCTCAGAGTTTGGGAGGGAAAGACTGCAACATCACCAGTGTCCTTGAAAAATACCATAAATAAGTCATTTTAATTATATTCTCCTTTTACCAATGACAACTGTCTGTAGTTTTATCTTCAATAATATTCTCACATGACAACAGATAAGATTCCACAGCCTTGTTGTTTTGGGAAGATTAGGTTTCGTTTCATGTTTAATTGACAAGTTATACTTACCATGGCCATTGCTAGGGAGATAGGAAAGCCGCCCAGTTTTGAAGAGATGATAGACGGTTTGGGAATAGAACAAAGGCTCTTTGATGGCAAATGTTCTTGTCCTTTTGGCTGAGGTTTCCCTGTTCCACCTTCAGTTTCATTAGCAGACATATGGTTGCCTTCATGATTCTGTGCAAAACGCTGCCTCTCAAAAACAAAGCAAACAGAGCTAGTGATGACCTTTTTCCTTTTTCTCTTTCTCTGAAGTACCAGTGTTCAGAAAACATTGTCTCACATTTAAAGATGTCTGAAATTTGTGATAAATAGCAATAAAAGAAAGAGGAAATCCCTGTGTCTGTGTCAAAGGGGGCCTCTCATAAATTTCATGTGACTTGGAGGTTAAATGTAACTATTGAAACATAATTAATGCTATCAAGACCTTAACTTGAAATTATGTTTAGAGAAGAATGTAAATGTCAATGTGTCTTGTTTGGAGAAGACACAGTTTATAAACGCAGAATGAATTTTTCCAGGCTGCATGAGGTTTTCTCATTATGTTGTTAGCTGGGTGATGAACCAGCTCTGGTTATCTCCTTTTAATTCTTTCAGCTTCCCGTTTCCTAATAAGTGAGTATAATAATATTCTTCCTTTAAAAAAAAATCCCCATCTTTAAAAAAATGTATTTTTACTTTTCTTCATCAATGCTTATGGTATTTAAATATAATTTAGAAACAACTCTCCTTTCAATTTACTTAACCCCTATCCTAATGTCATGAAACAAATCAGCCCTATCTGTAGCTGAAACAAGAAGAAAATTGCCTTCTTAGTTTTTCCAGATTGCTGGAGGTGAAGATGCTTTCTTATCTCTGAAACACAGCATCCAAATCACAGACCACTGACAGGATAAGATGCATTTTGTAAATCAGATGGGAAATCTTTACATTTGTGGCAATAGGTTCTCCCCACATTGTGTAAGGCATAACTTGGCTTTTTTTTTTTTTTCTTTTCAATGATGATTTTATCTTTTGAATATTCTATCCCCTTACATGACAGCTACCTCCTTTCAATACTCCCAAGACTAAAATAGAAGTATTATCTCCCTGATTCTAATTTAGACTATGGCTAAGAGAGTTTGAGCACAAATAAGACTTTTGATCACAGGTTACTTGGAACAAGATACTTTAGTGTTATAATATTAATAATTTGAGTATTTTATCATATCATATACTAGTGCCAGGAAAATCACTCTTAATACTTTGTGTTGTGTTTGTTCAGTGGTTGAACTAAATAGCTCAAATACAAAGTCCATTACCTTCTAAGCTTTTCAGGGTATAGTCAAATATATTTCATCTTATATTGTACAACATATTTTAAACGATATTATTTTTAAAAAATTGAGATTCAGTAATCTTCCCTTTATTCTTTGAAAATGTTGCAGGAAAACATTTTTATCTCTTTTCCCCCAGAAGCTGAATAAGGATGGTAACTATTTTCAAAACTACCTCTCACCAGGGACCCTGGAGCACTTGGATGTCAGAAGCTAGAGTTATTGCACAAGGTAGGAACTCTAGATTCTAATATCACTTTTTTTTCTAAATAATAACCATATAGTGCTCTCAGTGATGACAATTAGCCCTTAAAGATAGGAAGAGGATTTTATAAAAAAGAAAGCACAAGAAAAGATCTTCAACAGGCTTTCTAGTTTCATGTTTTCACACGTGTGCCCGAGTGACATTATGTGCATAGAACAAAGGCAGATTATGCAGTTAATGTTGATTGTTTGAAGAAGCAACTAGAGGAAAACACAATGACTTTGAGAAAAGTAATTACCTGAGGAGTTGTATTACTGGCTCCCAACCTATAAGTGGAAGAGAAAACATCAAGTAAATTACTCACTTTATTCAAACCTTACACTCTCAAACTCCTCCAAACTCTATCCTTCCTAGGGAAGTCTCTTTCCACAAAGTAGTTATACCTTGAAGTATTTAAAATGTAAATTTATAACCTAGGCTTCTCATGTAGGAAGCATAAACGTTGATTACTTAAACACCTGAAATACCTCTGGTTCTAGAGAAATGAAAAAATAAGAACATCTTACCTGTGACAACTGAAGATTTCCTTCCATTTGTAAAGAAATGACATTTTCCTGGTTATCTCTTCCAAATCCAACTCTTGGGAGCTTTGTTCCTGGCCTGAGACCTCCATATCTGTTCGGATAATGTGAGGAATTGAAAGAAGGAAATTATTAGGATGGAGGAGAGAATTCTGACTGTGGAGAAGAGAAATGGCTGGCACAGTTGGCCGGATGAAGCGTGACACCCCTACTTTTGATCAGCAAAGAGATCGTGCCACACAATTGGCACTCTGAGCTCATGTAAACTCTGCTATCAGATCATGATTAAACTTTCATTAGATGTGGAATACTTTGTGCTTTTCTGTTCACTGTAAAAACAACATGGATGTTTAACTCAACACATTTATAAACAAAAAGATTGCAATTATTTATCTCTATCAAAACTGGGATAATTTAGTTGATGAGAGATGCTATGCTGATGGAATGTGATAGTTCCTTATTCTGTTGTGTCTCCTTTGACATGTTTGTGGAACAAAAATATGTAGACCAAAGGATAAAAATGTACCCTTCTGATATCTAAAAACTGTACCAATCACTGCTGGGTAATATGCAGGTCAAGGAAGAAATTGGCTAACAGATGTCTTATGTAGAATTTAGAAATCTTGCACACAGTTGGAAGGAGAACTGGTCTGTTTTGTTTTAGGGAGAGGGAAATCTAAAGTTATGTCTTTTCCTATTGGCTAAATGAAGTGTAGCTGCAGGAACTGACATAATAAAGAATATTGTTGCTGTTAATAAAAAATAAATACTAGTTACTGGTAAAAGCCTTCTTGTCCCTTTGGGTGTAGTTGAATACCAAAATTGGACCTTCACAGTAGGAAGCCATCTTCTCCAGGAATATTTCTGACCATGAGTTATGTAATTCTAGGAATGCTAGGAGGGCAAGGGAAGAAATCTATTTGGATTTAGTATGACTAGAAATTGTCAGGGCTGAAGAGATTAGTTATTTATAATACAGCAGAGATCTTAAAGCACATCAAGTCACTAAGTAAGCCAGACGTGAATTTAGGTGTTCACAATTTTGCTTGGGAATATTCTACCTCTGTCCAGTTTCATAAATTAATTTCTGGTGGTTCTTTAATCATTTTATATTCACAGAACCCATTAGCTTCCAGCAGATCAACTAATTTTTGATATACAGTTAAGAGACATAAATAAATCCTTTCTTATTTCCCTTCTTTAATCATACATCTTCAAAAAAAAAAAGAAAAAAACACCAAAAGCCTTTACTAGTTTCCTCTTTGTAGTTCTAATGGTGACATCCATATTTAATATTTATTGGGCACCCCAGCACAGGAAAGAAAAAAAAAAGAAGAAGAAGAAAGAAATTACATGGTCTTTGCTCTCAAATAATATAATGATGAGAAATGTTCTGGAATTTCCTATTTAGAAATCATATTAAAAAAATAAATTCTAGATCTGCCACTTAAATTATTCAACAACCCAAATCTAGAAGAGGGGAACAATTGAGAAAACTATTTCTCTTAAAATTCATTACTAAATCTGTGTATTTCTGCTAAATAAGAGATTAGCTAGATTATGTCCTAATTTACAGGGACTTCCACATAGGTGGAAGCAGAAATCTCAATGATTGGATAACTTACCAATAAAAGGTTTTGTTAGTAAGTTTTGTGTTTTTCCTATGTGCCAAGACACTTGGAGGTGCCAAGGTGAGAAAGATGTGATTGCTGCCCCGTTTGGTGCTAAAGGCAGACACACAGAGAGGAAAAGCTGTGAGGACAGTGGCTCAGGGGGCTGTGGTAGAACAGGGCAAAGGCAGGAGAGAAAAGTGGATAAGAGTATGACTTGGGCCAAACTCCTTAGTTTTGAATCGGTTTTACCTCTCTCTAGCTGTTTTGGTTCTCTAGTGCCACTCTAACAGAAGTACCACAAATGGTTGGTTTTAACAAACAGAAATTTATTCTCTTACAGTTTTGGAGGTTAGAAGTCCGAATTCAAAGTGCCAGCTCTAGGGACTGGGTGAAAGCCCCTCGACTTTGGGCTTCAGCTCTGCCTCTTTTTCCTGGCCCAGTGGAGTTGGAGGTGTATCTTCACTCAGGCTGAATGCTGAGGCTGACAAACCCAAGGTCAGCAAGTAAAATGGCATAATCCCAAGATTATCAAACCACATGGCAGGCCATGAGTCCATGAACAGTCCCAAGATTGGCAGACAACATGGCAGGCTGCTGAACAATGACTCGGCTACACGTAGGATTCAAGTGTGCCAAAACTGCAGAGACATTTTCTAAAGTGTCTCCTTATATACAGGAAGCAGACCACATCCCTAAAGCAGCTACTCAGCTGCTTGTGGCAGATTTCACCATGGAGTTGACTGCTAGCCTCATCACGGGGAATAACTACAACCAGCTGCCCAGCCACTCGAAACCAGGCTCAGACAAGTTGACACATTACCTTAACTACCACGCTAGCTATATGGCCTTGGACAAGCTGTTTAACCTTTCTATGTCTCAGTTTACTCATCTACACTATTGGAGCTTTTAATCCATGAACACATGGTATATCATTCCTTTATTCAAATCTTATTTGATTTATTTTCCCATTATTAATTTAGGCTTAATCTCAAGAAGTAGAATACCCGTATCAAATGATATGGGCATTTCAAAGACTTTTGATACATATTGCCAAGTTTCATCTTTGTTCATGAACATCCTTTGCCAAGTCCTTCTTATTCTTTTTATTCCTAGTTGGAACACATTGCCTCTGCAGTATGCTATTGTTGTTGTTTGCCGTCGAGTTGGCCCCGACTCATAGCGACCCCTCCTTGGGTTTCTGAGGCAATATCACTATGGAAGTAGATTGCCCAACCTTCCTTCCGAGGAGTGGCTGGTGGGTTTGAACCACCAGCCTTCTGGTTAGCAGTCAAGTGCCTTAGG